ACGTGAAGGTTATTTACAACTTACCGAATAGTGCTGACATCCGGGGTATGAGGGGCGGTGATCAGCCACTTTCAACAAGGCGGAGAAAATACGTCGCAGCCTCTGTTCCGTTGTTTTCACAGGTCTTTCAAGGTTTCAATTTTTCTTTGCCTGTCTTTCTGATTTAGCTTGTTTTAAAAAAAAAATGAAAACAACTTATGGAAAACGGGGACCTTGGGTTCTTCAAAGTTAATGGAGATCAAAGTCACTGAGAAAGGAACAAGCCTGAATGCAAAATGTGTCACCTTGACATTGGCTTGCAGACTCTTAGTTTACGGCTGGAAAGCAAAGCCTTAACCTTGGACTTGTCAGGTATCTAAGCACTGGGGGTTCCTATGTATGTGTGTGTGTGTGTGTGAGAGAGAGAGAGGGAGACAGAGACAGAGACAGAGACAGAGAGACCTGCCAGAACAAGGGTTTGAACTCAGAGCCTCCTTGTTCTAACCTGGCTTTTTCATTCAAGGCTCATCTTGATTAGCTGTAGCAGCCTCATTCTCCAGTGTGAATTAGCATACATCTACCTCCCTAGACGATCGGCATACTAACAGCATTAAATAGTGACTACATTTTTTTTTAATTTTTATTGGTCATGGGGCTTGAACTCTGGTCCTGGGCACTGTCCTTTGAGCTGTTTCACTCAAGGCGAGTTCTCAACCACTTGAACCAAAGCTCTACTTCCAGTTTTCTAGTGGTTCATTGGAGATAAGAGTCTCAAGGAGTTTCCTGCCCAGGCTGACTTTGAATCATGATCCTCAGATCTTAGCCTCCTGAGTAGCTAGGATTATAGGCATGAGCCACCAGTGCCCAGCTGTGACTCTATTTTTCTAGCTGTGTTTGAAGAAACTTTGGAAGTGAGAAAGGTTCTTTAATGATCCTAGGGAGCTCTGGGCTCTCTCTTACCTTTCCATAATTTTGAGTGAATGTGGAGTTTAAAAATAATCATTGACATGCAAAAAGGGGATGTGGTCTGTTAGTCAAAAAGATGCAAGGGTGTTCTCGAATGTTCTGCTTGGTTGACACCCTTCTCCACCACACATGTTCCCAGCAAAGGCAGGACGTTTTCTCCTTGAAATGGCCCATGCTGTTACGTCTGACACGGTGTCTGCTGCCGGGGGCTCTGAGGTCTGCCTCAACCACATTACTCAGAACTCACGTTCAGCAGGTATGGGTCAATAGGCCCTTTGGTATCAGAGAAGGAAATAAATCACTTTGCCCAGAAACACCCATCTGTTTTGAACAGGCCCAGGGATAGATGGCGGTCTGTTGTGAGGACTATTTAATATTCAAAAGAAACTCTAATCCAAACAGTTTACTTTCTTTAAGTCTAAGCAGCGAAGGATATTCCAGTCAATGCTTAAAACTATGCTTACAGGAGATGCTAGAAGCATCCTTCTGACTCAAAAAAAAAAAAAAAAAAACTGAAGGGAAAAAAAATCCTAATAATGTCTATGACTTTGGCGACCTCTACCGGTCAATATGAAGAACAAATTTAAGAATTTTTTTTTTCCTTCTAAAAGTTCATCAAAGTCAAAAATCACATTGTTTTTTAATTTTTATAGCCTCCGTGAAATAAAATAACTGGATCTGACTTTTATTAATAGTGAATGGCAATTTATTCTCTAGATAAAATACTTCATTAGCTATACCATGCTGATGTCTGTCATCCTAGCGACTCAGGAGGCTGAGATCTGAGGATCGCGGTTCAAAACCAGCCCAGGAAGGAAAGTCCCATGAGACTCTTATCTCCAATAAACCACCAGAAAACCGGAAGTGGAGCTGTGGGTCAAAGTGGTAGAGTGCTAGCTTAGGAAAAAAGAGATCAGGGAGATCAGGGACAAGGCCCAGGCCCCGAGTTCAAGCCTCACTATGAACAACTAAGTAAATCTCCATATGCTGCATATTATCATACAGAGACATTAACTTTGTTCTAAAAAAATTCTCCCCAGATAAATGTCTCCTTTCCAATATTGGTTCTTTTTTAAGGAATTAGTTTTAGGTCATTTTTGGGGTTCAGGGCTTTCTTTTTCACTAGGTATGGTATTAAACAAGCTAATTAATGCCAGACAATTAGCCCTCAAAGTCACTGAAGCTATTGAACTCTTATGCTACTTGCTTTTATGAAACCATGCTTCCTTATGACAGGATTTTCCCATCTATTCCTTTAAACTGCAGCTTGCATCCACTGCGCGGTGGACTGAAGAGAGTGACTCACCTATTAAATCATACCAACTGATAAGATAATATGTTCGGAACCGAGTTGGGGTGTTTGAAGACAACTTCTTCCATCGTTCCTTGTCACTTTGGGTTTTGAATGTTTTGCTTTGTTCAATTTGTTGCTGTTGCCAGGCGCTGGTGGCTCACACCTGTAATTCTAGCTACTCAGGAGGCTGAGATCTGAGGATTGCGGTTCAAAGCCAGCCCGGGCAGGAGAGACCGTGAGAGTCCTATCTCCAATAAACCACCAGAAAACCGGAAGTGGCGCTGTAGCTCAAGTGGTAGAGCGCTCACCTTGAGCTGAAGAGCTGAGAGACAGTGCCCAGGCCCAGAGTTCAAGCCCCACGACCGACCCCCCCCCAAAAAAAACCAATTTGTTGCTGTTGTTTTCATAGACAGGGCTTTGCTATGTCTTCCTGCTTCAACTTCCCAAATTATGGAATTTTTTTTTAGTTGGTCATGGGGCTTGAACTCTGGGCCTGGGCACTGTCCCTGAGCTCTTCAGCTCAAGGTGAGTGCTCTACCACTTGAGCCACAGCGCTGCTTCTAGTTTTCTGGTGATTCATTGGAGATACGAGTCTCATGAACTTTCCTGCCCTGTGTCCTGTGGTGTAAATGGTGAACCCCAGTTGAGAAGAATGCCAGTTTCCCATCTCCAGACAAAGTTGGGGTCCCTCCCTCCCTCCCTCCCTTCCTCCCTCCCTTCCTTCCTTCCTTTTCTTCTTCCTTTCCTTCTTTCTTTCTTCTTTCCAGGCCTGGACAAATCCTTGAGCTTCTTTTTTGCTCAAGGCTAGCACTCTACCAGTTGAGCCACAGTACACTTCTGGCTTTTTCTCAGTAGTTTATTGGAGACAAGAGTCTCACAGACTTTCCTGCCTAGCTCTGTTCTCTGTTCTCTGTGTCTATGTCTGTCTTTCTCTCTTTCTCTCTCTCTCTCTCTCTCTCTAGCTCACCCCTACCCCCTTTTAAACACAGACAACTAATCCAATATGTTTAACAACAACAACAAAAAACTTGGAAATAAATCGTCAACGTGCTCATACCTAAAACCAGTGTGAGTGGTGATATCTCAGTGTCTGTATGTCTAAGGTGATTTAAAAAAAAAAATTGTCAAATCTGAAATGAGAAGCTCATGGACAAGATCGAGAACAGTCATTATGCCAGGCTGGACATTCCCAGGGGGGACAGGCATCCAGAAGTCCTGTAAACGAACCCCGGCCTCCACTTTCCTGTCTGCCCTGTGCTCTGTCCTCCATATAAAACAGAAAACTCCAATCAGACCAGCAGGCAGCCCCAGGGAGAATGTGATCCTCAGGGAGCTGGGGAATTGCTCATTGGCAAGAATAAACGTCCAGCAAGGTGTGGGCCTGGGTTGGCCAATGCTGAGATCGTATTCCTCTTCTCCTAGACGGAGCCCCAGCCGGGAAACAGGGGTGGCCCTGAGAGAAAGCCCAGGGGTCCAGGGCCACACACCGCGAGGGCGCCGGGTGCCACGCCACAGCTCCTCAGGGTTTGCTTCACAGGCAACTTCCCACAGGACAGATGGACTGATCCGACACGAGTGTGTCTCACGGGAAGGATTCGAAGACCCAGCCAGAGCAAGCGCTGCAGTCAGAATGGAGAGAAGACAGGGCAGGACCCGGCAGGACGCAGCACGCTGTCCCGGGCATCTCCTGTGCTGTGTTGCCTTGAGGCTCATTTTCCCTCTTCTATTCTGCAGCCATGCCACTAGAGGGCGCCACGGCCCCGCTTCCCTCTGCACCTGGGTGTGGCAGATTGCTCTCTCTCTCACTGTCTTCCCTTTTATTTTTAAAAAGCTTTACTTTTTAAAATTTTTTGATGGTTATTATAAAGGCGACATACAGAGGAGTTACAGTTTCGTAAGTCAGGGAATGAGTTTGTTTCTTTTTGGACAGTGTTACCCCTTCCCTCCCCCTCTCTCTCTCTCAGTTTTCCCTCCCGTCCCCACCCAAAAGTTGTAGAGCTGATTTTCAAGTGTCCAGTGAGTACGGCTGCTGCATTTGTTCACCCTTTGTCCCTCCTCTCCTGTGCCCCTTCTGCCCCTCCCAAAGACAGATGAACAAACAAGACTAAAAGAAACTTTAAGAAAAAAAAAACACTTGTATTTCTGTCTTTTCAAACCCCAAGACACGAAAATGGCCCTTCATGTTTTCCAGTGTGTTTCTCCCACGCATGTGACTCCTGCAGCACAAGCACCACCGCACTACTGGTGAGAAAGAAGGTCATCTTCCACCCCCCCACCCCACCCCCGCTGAAGTCTCTGTCCAGCTTGGGGTGGGGGTGGGGGGCTCCTGCTACCACTTTGCATATCCACTATGCCAAGCAGACTTAACACAGCCAGTTCCTCGAAGGGAGGATTTTATTACTGCTGCCACAGTCCCGGATTATAATGACTCACACTGGAGGCTGGGAAGGTGGCTCAGTGGCAGAGTGCTTGCCTAGCACGCATGAAGCCCTGAGTTCAAATCCTCAGCACCACATAAGCAGAAAAAGCCTGAAGTGGCTCTGTGGCTCAAGTGGTAGAGTGCTAACCTTGAGCAAAAGAAGCTCCAGGACAGCGCCCAGGCCCTGAGTCCAAGCCCCAGGACTGGAAAAAAAAAAAAAACTGAGACTCTGCAGTGGATCTTGATTGGCAGGCACTCAGCAGCTGGCTATCAAGTTAGACACCTCCCAAGTCTACCAGCGAAAGCGGCCTGGGCCCCGAAGATATCAGCGTGTAGCGGAGGCGCAGGGCGACACTTGCAGCCCTGCTTGGCCGTTTTCATGCCCGGTGCGAGGCAGCTCGCCACCCCGACGATGTGTGGGACGGTGCTGCTGGCATGGCTGCTATGTGGTGAGTGGCTCCTTTATATTGAAGGTGCCTTACAGACTCAGTGGTGGTGGTGGTGAGGATGACAGTCAAAGCTCTGGAACATGAATTCACAGGCTACTATCCAGGAGGGACCAGCTGTGGGGGTGAGGGGGAAAGCGGGGGAGACGACGGGGTGAAGAAGATCAAAGGACATTATATACATACATATGTATGTATATACAATATATATATATAATCGCCACTAAGGACTTAAGAAAGGAAGGCAGCAAGGAGGAGGGAGAGGAGAAATAGGAATGTAGGTGAGAGGGTGGGTTTGTTCAAAGTGCACTGTGTACATGTATGGAGATAGCAGCATGGCTCCCCTCCTGCTAAACATGTATGCTGATTGAAAAATCAAACAGTACATGAGGAACAAACCCCACGTCAGGAGTCTCAGTGAATAAATAGATGAAGAGTATCTCAAATTCGAGACTGCCGGGTGCAGGACTCAGTGGGCGATGTGGTGGTAATAGTTCAAGGGAGGGTCCTATATTTGGGGGGTGGCCAATACTTGGGGCTCAATCACAGTTTGTAGGATGAGCGATCAGCTTTGTCCCTAAGCCTTGCTTGGAATCAAAACCATTTTTACCAAAGAGGAGAGATATTTCAGTTTGAGTGATGAGGAGAAACATTTCCAAATTAAAGACTCATTAGCGCGGGCGATGGTAGGTATACAACCCTTCGTTTTCAAAGGACACAGCTTCCTACTTGGCCCACAGAAGGGTAAAATAGAGATTTGAACTCTGAAGCCACAGAAAGATGTGGTTCTCTCTCTCTCTCTCTCTCTCTCTGTCTGTCTCTCTGTCTCTGTCTCTGTCTCTCTTTCTCTCTCTCTCTCTCTGTCTCTGTCTCTCTCGCTCTCTGAAGTGTGCTCAGCACACAGACATAGCGGTGAGCCAGGTGAGAGGATCAGGGCTGGGCAAACACAGGTGTAAATGCAGGGCTCTTCCCTCTTGTGCGGTAGAGCCTCCCTGGAGCGAGCACACGGCAGGATGATGAAGAGCACGTAGGTTCAAGTGTGATTCCAGAGCTCCAAGTCTGGGCAACACTGAAAGGAGCTGCTGGCCCTCCTGTCTGCACATGCCCATCAGACATCGCAGGACAAGTAGCTATAATAATGGTCAGCCTCAGTACGTATGAATAATAAACATATTCTTAAAATATGTCTTGGCCATGTAGATTCATGATAGGCAAGAAATAAACCTGGATCTATGGCTGACTAGCACTGTGCTTCTACACCACATTGTCTTTACCTAGTCATACAGTAGTCTACTAGATGAATGTCATAGGCAAGCGACTGTGTAGGCCTGAGCAAACCTAGGTGTGGGGCATGTTTGAGTTCGTTTTCTCTGACAGTATACTCAGAAGCATAGGAGATTGCTGAACCATATAAAACAGGACTGGTTTTAGTGGTGGTTGTTTTTTGTTTGTGTTTGAACAACCTCCACAAGCACCTGTTGCTAACGGACGTTCTTACCCGCAAGGCGCAGGAGTCCCTGTGGTCACACACATTCTCTCAAGCGTTTTCCTTCTTTAGTCTGAATAGTAGCCCTTCTAGCCGCAGCTTTGATTGGCGTTTCCTGGATGACTGACCCATAGTGAGCAATTCCCTTTCACAGAATTCTTTTTTTTTTTTGGGTCCGGTCGTGGGGCCTGAACACTGGGCCTGGGCGCTGTCCCTCAGCTCTTCAGCTCAAGGCTAGCGCTCCACCACTTGAGCCACAGCACCACTTCTGGCTTTTTTCTTTTTGCTTATGTGGTGCTGAGGAATCGAACCCAGGGCCTCAGGCATGCAAGGCAAGCGCTCTACCACTGAGCCACCTTCCCAGCCCCTCCCTTTCATAGAATTCTTGACCATTTGTATTTTTTTTCTTTTGAGATGTGTCCATTCAGACCAATTTCCTATGCTTAAATCATGTGCCTGGTTTTTGGATTGTACAGTTTTTTGAATTCCTTATATATTCTGGACCTTAACCCTCGGACAGGTGAATCATTTGATTGTCTTCCTTCCATGCATGAGAAGTATATGTCTGAGTGATTCTCAACCTTCTCTTTGCAGGTTCTCTTTTCCCATTAGCCATTGCCCAAGATGATGGAAAACCAACATCAACTGAAGTAACACCAGGTGGGATTTTATGTTTGTTCATGAAATAGATTTACAATAAGTACTTATCTGGCAGTATGTGTGTGTGTGTTCGTGTGTGTGTGTGTGTGTGTGTGTGTGTGTGTGTGTGTGTGTGTGTGTGTGTAACTATTGAACTACACTAAAACCAAAACTAAAAAATTGAAAGAAAAAAAAACACCCTCAGGACTGGGAAGGTGGCTCAGTGGTAGAGCGCTTGCCTTGTATGCATGAGGCCTTGGGTTCCATTCCTCAGCACCACATAAACAGAAAAAGCTGGAAGTGGTGCTGTGGCTCAAGTAGTAGAGTGCTAGCCTTGAGCTGAAGAGCTGAGGGACAGAGCCCAGGCCCAGAGTTCAAGCCCCACAACCAACAAAAAAAAAAAAAAACTGGGTGCCAGTGGCTCCACCTGTAATCCTGGCAACTCAGGAGGCTGAGATCTGAGGATTGCAGTTCAAAACTGCAGGAAAATTCATGAGATTCTTACCAATAAACCACTCAGAAAACAGGAAGTGGAGCTGTGGCTCAAGTGGTAGAGTGCTAGCCTTGAGCTGAAGAGCTGAGGGACAGTGTTCAGGCCCAGAGTTAAAGCTTCATGACTGAAAGAGAGGGGGGGAGGGAAGGGAAAGAAAGAAAGAAGAACGAAAGGAAGAAGGGAGGGAAGGAGGGAGGAAGGGAAGAAGGAAAGAAGGAAGGAAGGAAGGAAGGAAGGAAGGAAGGAAGGAAGGAAGGAAGGAAGGAAGGAGTTACTTTGGATGATGGAATTGTGGGTAACCTTCTTTCCCCTGCTTTTTTAATCCTTCCTTAAACTTTCTGCTGTTTTTGGTGAGGATAATTTAAGAAATAGCTAGATGGATCTGGGCACTAGATAGAGCTGCCTGCCACCTGTAATCCTAGATGCTCAGGGGGGCAAAAACTTTGAGAGCCCCCCACCTTCCTGATCTCAGCCAATAAGAAACAGTATAGTGGGATGGGCCTGTCATCTCAGTAGTGTGGAAATGGTAATAAGAGGATTGCAGTCCAAGCCACAGGGCTGGGAAGGTGGCTTAGTGGTAGAGCGCTTGCCTTGCATGCATGAGGCCCTGGGTTCGATTCCCCAGCACCACATAAGCAAAAAGAAAAAAAAATAACAAAAGCAAAAAGGCAGAGGGCATAGCTGCTCTGGCAGAGCAGAGTGGCTGTCTGGCAAGCACAGGCCCGACTGAGTTCAAACTCAAGCACCACCAAACACAGAAGAGATAACTCGATAGACTGATAAAAACAATCATTCACTTGTTCCAGGAAGAAACCTTTGGATTTCTTACAGTGTGTGAGGGGACTAAATGTAGGTGTTACTTATGCTCACCCATGTGTCTTCTGGTCCAGTTGGAAAACTGAGAACTTTGTCCTCTTGACCTTCTGTGACCTTGACTTGTCAATCTCCACACATGGAACCAATACAGCCCTTCCACTTTTACCTGTGAGCTACCTGTGACTTTAGGCATTATGCACTGAATGATATCCAAAAAATCCAGTAAAAAAAGAAAATGATTTCTCTGTTTAACAAAACCATGTCAGGAGAAAGCTTACCTTCTTTTGGTTTTTTAATTTAATAGGGTTAGGGCATACAATTTGGGATTTCAAATATGTCTTTTAGAAAAAATGAAAATTTGCAGACAAAGCCAAGAGTGGAGATGTGGCTCAGCTGGTTGAGCTCTAGCTTGAGGAGAAAGAAAGAAAGAAAAAAAAAAGAAAGAAAGAAAGTATGCTCCAGGCCCTGAGTTCAAGCCCCAGGACACACACACACACACACCAATAGAAATTCATTCTGTAGTCTGCGTTCTCAATGAATACATTCTGTTTTGTTTCCCTGTACACAGTGGTCAACTGTGGTCGTCGGCCATTTGTATTTTGTATCTATTCTTGGAGAAAGGAAAAGTGAGTTTGGGGCTTGAATCCTTACTCCAACATCGTCACCCAGTGTTTGCATTCAGAGGAAGAGGCTCCTGAGAGTTTGTCTTCCCTTTATGGTAGTTAATGAAATTCCTGACTTTGTTGGGATTCTGCACATTTTTGAGGGCTAGCTAAATCTTTTCAGTGGAGATTCTCTGATGCCTTTTTTCCCCCTTATTTCCCCTCGGGGACCCTATTTAAAATTGAACACCAAATAAGAACACAAAGAACAAAACGTAAACAGCACAACTGTTTGAAGTTGCAGGTGAGCATGCTGTCACGACCTCAGAACCTGACTCTCTGCACCTCGAAACCCAGGAGAGCACCGCCCCTGCCCCCTCTCCAGCAGCTGCTGGGACTCGGCAGACTGACTCAGGTGACAGACAGCGCCAGGCGCGGAGGGCTGGGGTGCGCTTGGCTAGGGGCTGCTGTGGGCCGGCCAGCGGCGGGGGACGTGGGGGACAGAGTTTCCATGTCCCCTGAGAATTCTTCACAGCCAGCCCTGCGTCCTTAAGCTGATGACCACCAGGTAGATTTCAGAGACAGAAATAAGTGCTCAGGTCCTGAAAGAAAACGTCCACAAAGGCAACTCCCCTTGGACCGTGAGGATTCTGTGGGCGGTGGGCGTGAACCGACTGAATCATGTTTGGCTGGAAAATAATGGCAGCCCTGTTAACACCACAGCTCGCTGCTCTACCTTTCACCCAAAACTTCTGTGCTGAGGGTGCCCTCATCCAGTAGCTATGCCAGGTGAATTGTCATTTCAATGTCCTTTCAGTTAGCTCTGCTTTGCTCCAAGCCTGCGAGTTAGTAGCAGTATATTTTGGGGAGTGTCATCCACTCTTCTTCTTTCTTTTTTTTTGGGTCCAGTCGTGGGGCCTGAACTCTGGGCCTGGGCGCTGTCCCTCAGCTCTTCAGCTCAAGGCTAGCGCTCTACCACTTGAGCCACAGCGCCACTTCCGGCTTTTTTTTTCTGCTTATGTGGTGCTGAGGAGTCGAACCCAGTGCCTCGAGCATGCAAGGCAAGCGCTCTACCACTGAGCCACCTTCCCAGCCCCTGTCATCCACTCTTAAAGTGAACCTTCTTGGGTGGGGATATGACGAGGACTGCTTTAATCCCAGCACTCATGCCGCGTCCCAGAAGGCTCTGCACACGCAGGTGTGAAGCCCACACATTGTGTGAGCCCCACGCGTGTCTGGGGGCCTTGCACGGCCGCTGTCGTGCGCCTCTGGCATCGGAGGGGCAGCGGAGCTGTGCCCGTGCGCCCAGCCCTCGCGATCACAGCACGCCCTTCCTCTGGTCTTTCTGACAGGTGGACGAAGCGCCTTCCTTCCCCTGCTGACCAGGGGTGTGCGGGCATGCTTTTGTCTTTGTGTTGTTGTTGGTGGTGGTGGTGGTGGTCATTGTGGGGCTTGGACTTGCCTGGGTGCTTGTCCTCCTGGACTACACCTTCCAGCTCTTCTCACCCCGCCCAGAGGAGGGTGGGCAGTGCGGGGGGGGGGGCGGCTGCCAAAGCCTGCCTGCCCACAGATAAGCAGAACGGGGCAGCTGCGCTCAGCCTCTGCATCTCAGATGGCAGCGGTGAGCATGCTGTGAGCCACAGCCACAGCCCGGGGAAGCTGCTCAGACCAACCGAAGCCGCCGAATCACCACGCTGCCACGTTCTCCTGGGTAGCACTCGAGCCCTCAGAAGTTCCCTTCGCTGAACTGTAATTGACTGCTCTGGTTTAACAAAAGCCTCCTAAAAAAGAGAGAAGGAAGAAAGGAAGGAAGGGAAGGAAGGAAGGAAGGAGGGAGGGAGGGAGGGAGGGAGGGAGGGAAGGAGGGAGGGAGAGAGGGAGGGAAAAGAGGGAAGTTAGGAAGGAAAGAAGGAAAGAAAAAAGGGAGGGAGGGAGGGAAGGAGGAAAGAGAGAAGGAAGTTAGGAAGGAAAGAAGAAAAGAAGGAAGGAAGGAAGGAAGGAAGGAAAGAAGGAAGGAAGGGAAGGAGGGAGGGAGGGAGGAAAGACAGGGAAGTTAGGAGGGAAAGAAGGAAAGAAAAAGGGAGGGAGGGAGGGAAGGACGAAAGAGAGAAGGAAGTTAGGAAGGAAAGAAGGAAGGAAGGAAGGTAGAAAGGAAAGAAGGAAGGAAGGAAGGGAAGGAGGGAGGGAAGGAGGAAAGGGAGAAGGAAGTTAGGAAGGAACGAAGGAAAGAAAAAAGGAAGGGAAGGAGGAAAGAGAGAGAAGGAAGTTAGGAAGGAAAGAAGAAAGGAAGGGAGGGAGGGAGGAAGGAGGGGGAGGAAGGAGGGAGGCAGGGAATGAGGGAAAGAGGGAGGAAGGAAAGAGAGAGAGAGAAACAGAAAGAAAGAGCAATGATAGCAGACAGGATATTGTACAATCTGACCCAAACTGACCTCATCAACCTTTCCGCTTAAGAGCAAATCCAAATTACTCCTTTAAAGTAGCGCCTTCCGGCCATGGTTCTCAAACAGCTTTTGGCACCGTGCCTATCTGGCAAGCGGCCCATTTAGTGGAAAGCAATGTGGAGGTGTGGCAGAAGGTGTGCTGGGTGGGCAGCCAGCGGGAAGGAGTCTTGTCCTAGCTTGGTTGCAAATGGACCATCTAAACTTTCTTCAAACACTCTTAGCAGTCTTCACGAGGATCACAGGCCAGGAACACTGTACTTAGAAGTCCTTTCTGGCTTGGAAGCTGCTGGAGGCTTGTCTCTCAGGGCCGGGTGCTGCTGTGAGATCCAAGTGCTGAGCTTCTCCTAGCCAGATGGGGTGCGTGCTTGGAGGGATCGCTCCTGGTGCAAACTGCAGGGGGCAGGTGGCTTTCTCAGCACCGCACACCCTCATCACGTTTCTGTGTATGGGGTATGTTTGAAATGACAACCCCTGGGAAAAGCTTCCGGGTCTGGGAAAAAGAGTAGTCAGGAGGCTGGTGCTCTATTCCCCCCCACCCCTCATATATCCCTCACAAGCCACTACACCAACTTGGCTTCACAGAAGGACAACAGAGACCCTGTTAACTCTGTGTCACCAGCACCCACGCCTCAAAGGCTGAGCATAATCATGAGTCACTGATGTCAAATCAGGGGAGACCATAGAGGTAAACCATCACACCCCCACGTGTGGAAGGGAACCATGGGGATGGAGGGAAATCGGGGGAGATGGGGAGATGGACGGAGTAATAATGATCAGCATGCAGTGTGTTCAACCAATGTGGAGTTAAAAGCCCTTCCTATGGAAGGGTAAAAGAAACACATATGTAACTACATCCACAAGTAAACACATATGAACGTTAAGTAAGTGAAAGATAACTGGGGGGCTGTGCAGCACTTAACTTTCTGGGAGGTCGAAAATTACATTCCACCCTACTTAGTTCAGGCCATGATGTGGAGCATTTTTTTTTTCCTGTGGGGCTTGAACTTAGGACCTGGGCACCTGTCCCTGAGCATTTTCGCTCAAGGCTAGCACTCTACCGCTTACAGCCACATGGTCATTTCTAATTTTTTGGTGGTTAATTAAAGAGTCCCAAAGCTGGGCACTGGTGGCTCATGCCTGTAATTCTAGCTACTCAGGAGGCTGAGATCTGAGGATCACGGTTCAAAGCCAGCCCAGGCAGGAGAGACCGTGAGACTCCTATTTCCAATAAACCAACAGAAAAACAGAAGTGGTGCTGTGGCTCAAGTGGTAGAGCACTCGCCTTGAGCTGAAGAGCTGAGGGACAGCGCCCAGGCTCAGAGTTCAATCCCCATGACCAACAGAAAAGAAAAGAAGAGAGAAAAAAAAAGAAAAGAAAAGAAGTCTCGGGGGACTTTCCTGCTTGGACAGGCTTTAGCCACAATCCTCAGATCTCAGCCTCCTGAATAGCCAGGATTATAAGCAGGAGCCACAGACACCCGCTATGTGGAATACTTAATACAAGGCAGCATGGAAAATTCCATTACAGTGACTCAGATGACAAATTTTAAGCCAAGTGTTTGACCAAGGCTACCTTCAATGCACTAATTTGCCTCCTGTCTGGCTGAGGCTCACAAACCATTTCCTGAGCACTTACCTTTCCTCTTCTTCCCTCTCCCTCCCTCTCCCTCCCTCCCTTCCTACCCCTCCCCCCCCCTTCTCTCTCTCTCTCCACATTTTAGTCTTTATCCTAATCCCCTCCTCCCAACCTCCACCTTAAACTCCAACCACCTTCAGTTCCAGCAGAGATCCATCTGCAAGTAGGCCTGGGGTGAGGGCTTGGGTGGAGCCCTCCCCCTCCCCCCCCCACCTCCCTGCCCAGCCAAAGCGCCTCCACTCATAGCCACAAGTCTGCCCGGCTTCATCCCAGAGAGGTGAGGGTTTTCAGGGGGACTGTGGATGCGCTAGAGGGAGGGACAGGCCGAGCAAATGCCCCTCAGGTTGGTATCGCCAGAGCAACAGCATTCTCCTCCATGGCCACAGCCCAGAGAGCTTAGCCATATTGTCCAAGTCATCAAAGTCAAGACCACGTGATTGCTCTGAAAGATTCTGGCTCTGAGGAGAATTCTCCGGGGATCTCAGAAGAACTGAGCTGCACGTGAGGTACAATGTAGCACATGCTCACTGAGTAACATGCTAAGACAGAGAGGAAGTCGTGCTGACAAGGTCTGGAGCAGGTGGTAGGGTGTGGGAGGTGCTGCCAACAGAGCAGCAGTGAAGGTCATCTCAAGGTCAGCTGCCACCGGTGGAGCTTGGAGGGAATGGTCTCAACAACCTTTTATCAGATTATCTGAGGGCATTTGTGGACGCATTTCCTTACTCTGTTGACTTAGACAACTATCAGAAGGAATCGTATCAAAGCAGCTACAGCTAGAGAATGAAAGCAGGTGCAGAATTCTGGGAACCAAGCAGAAAGTGTCACTCACTCTTTGTAAGGGCACAGAGGGGAGGTCAGGGGTTCGGGGAGACTTGGATAAAGTGTACCCAAATTTTGGAAACTGCCTCAAGTCCTGACAGTTGTTCAGGACACTGTGAGATAGAAGTGAAGGTCTGAATCTGGGCGGGAAGAACAGAGTCTATGATCTAATGTAGGACAATATTTATTAGCATGAATTAGTTGTTCAAAAGAGCTTCCCTGTAGTATTTCCATACAAGCATATAGCATACTTTGGCCAAATTTATCCTTCTATTATTCTTTCCAATCTTCCCTCTCTCCTTTCTTTCTGACAGTTTTAGTGGATTTAATTATGCTATTTTTATCCATATATATGTATGTATATATCATAGTTCAATTCTCTCTATATAGCTATAAATAGATATGAAAATAGCATAATATATGTGATAATTCTATTTTCTCTATATATATGAATTAAAATATACAATATAATATACACTATACTATGTATAGTATAGTGTATATTAATATGGTATATATTGTATAGTATCTAATATACTATCTATGATTGCATACTTCTATCATATTCATATTCACCTTCATTTCCCCCAGTGGTCCCCTACTTGAGCTAAACAGTCTTCTTTTATGATCATGCCATATCATAATTGTTATTTCTTTAAGTGTTGACTGTACATATGAGAGGAAAATGTATGCTATTTGTCTTTCTGGTGTCCATTTCTATCCATTTTCCTGTCAACACTAAGATTTCATCTTCCTTTATACCTAATTTTTGTGTGTGCTACATATTTGTTATGCAGTGACTGGCTCTTGGCCATCTGAGTGTGCAGTGTGTCCCATGCACACTCAAACTCCTCTGGATAGAGGCCAGGGAGGGATAGCACGAGCTTGTGGCAGTCACATTTTGACACACCTCCGTACTGATTTCCACAGTGGCTACACGACTTTCCATCCTCACGAACAGCGCAGGGTTCCTTTGAGCCGGCACCCTGGCCGGCATTAGTGGCTGGCTGCTTTCTTGATGGCAGCCATTCTGACTCAGGCGAGGTAGACATTGGGTGGGAAACATTTCACAGTCACCGTAGAGTCTGCCTCCTTCCTGCTCTCAAAACTTGGGTACCATTTTGGCCTTTTGGCAATTTACCTTCTGCTTCTGAATACTAGGTGCTCTTTTCCAAAGAGGTAAAGAAAGTCTATGAAGCTGCTAGGAGTTCAAAATGAGTGTAATCAAGTTTAAAACCTATTGTAATGTTCTCTGTCTTCCCAACTGGTTTCTTATTCTGATTCCAAAGAGTTGCATATACTCTGTGTGTCGATTTAAAGTGTTCTTTTCCTCCTGCCTGCCTTTTTATAAAGTGCTGTCTTTAAGAGCTGTTAGTCCTGCTGGTGAAGGCTCTACTCTATTCTTGATGTAAATTCTTCAGCTGTGCTCTCCCTGCAAGACCTGGGGGCCCGGCCTTCCTCACCCACAGCCATGCCAAGGAGTGATAAGGCCTTCTGGAGGGCGGGTGCGTTGTTTGCAGCTAGGCTGCCTATCTGGGCGCGTCTTCACCCCGCAGAGGCTGGATGCTGCCTGGTGTCGATAGCTGAGCCTGTGGCTCATGTTTAAACTGAGCACAAATTGGGTTAAATGTCTATGCATTTCTTCTGGACCTCAATATGTCTTGATTATTTTTTGCTATGTAGGTTTGTTGTTGTTGTTGTTTGTCGGTTGTGAGGCTTGAACTCAGGGCCTGGGCTCTGTCCCTAAGCTTTGTGCTCCAGTCTAGCACCCTGCCACTTGGAGCCACAGCATCACTTCCAGTTTTCTGGTGGTTAATTGGAGATAAGAGTCTCATGGACTTTCCTGCCTGGGTTGGCTTTGAACTGCAATCCTCAGATCTCAGTCTCCTGAGTAGCTAGGATTATAGATGTGAGCCAACAGTGTCCGGCTTCTACATAATTTTGTAGTACATTCATACATAGACTTAATTTCCTCAATTTACATGCCTTTGTGAAACTACAATTGACAGTCCATATTCTGTTCTAACCTATAGTTCATGTCTACATTCATTAAGAGATATAGATTTTTTTTCTTTAGGAATGATCCATTTTGGCAATTTTTATATACTTTGGCTGATTCTTAAAGAAAACATTACTTTTGTCATTTTAATATTGCCAAACCTCAAAAGAGTGACTGTTCTATTATCTTAAAAACCATCAGGCCTGATTATACCTGAGCATATTATCCCTGAATATAATTATCCCTGAGTGTGTTATATCTGATTTTACTACCTTGAGTCTATTATACCTGAGTATATATCTTTGAGTATATTATACCTGAGTATATTATACCTGGGTATAATGGTCCCTGACTGTATTATCACTAAGTATAGTACACTTGAGCACTTTATACCTGAGTATAATACCACCAAGTATGAATATGCCTGAGTATAATTATACCCACGTATACTAACCCCTGGGTACACTCCCCCTGAGTGCTTTCTGGTGCCTTCAGTCCCCTGAACTTCGTTCCCTCACAGGTGCTGATGTAAGACTCAGGGCTACAGTGAATGCCACTGAACACGGTGTCACTCCGGGACCCTACCCATCAGGTTTGTTCTCTCGTCTTTACATCGTTGATCTAGAGTCCCAATTGTGATGCAGTTTTATTCCACGGGACCCAACCAGTGACTACATGAATAGTGTGACCGATACCGAGACTGGCAGGCTAGGTGGACTGCAGGCCAGGTAGCCACACCAACATGGCAAAGGAATGCTCGCCTCTCACCACACAGAGATGACAGTACAGTTATAAGAAATCACAGCCGTGTGAGGCAGCGGGGACTGCTCGGGGGCCAGGAAGGATCTTTTGAGATGTAGAGTTTTGTCTTAAACTGGTTTCTTTTCAAGACGGAACCAAGCCATGCATCAGACTGTCCAAGAAATAGCAGAATGTGGGTATATTTTGAGACTACCTGGGCACTGCTAATGTTATTTCAAAGTCACTTTGAGTAACTGCATTTTGCCCTATTTGAACTAGCCAATACGAGCAGACTGTGAACCTGAGCTCCGCCAGTAAGAGCACAGGGGTGGGGCCTGCTGGGTGAGGGCCTGGCCCTGCTGCAAACAGAGTCCATGGCCTTCCACAACCTCTGTTCCTCAATTCTAAAATGAAGCCACCAAGTCCTGCCTCCAGTGTTCCTCTAAAGATTAACGAAGACACCAATAAGAGTGCGTAGCTCAGAGCCTGGCGTAGCCCCAGGGCTTCCAGGGAGCCTGGCTGGTCACTGAGATAAATGACAGGCACATCTGCCCTCTTTCTAGAGAGGTGGTGACTTTACCAGACCTGTTTAATGATTAAAAAGAAAGAGAGAGGGGCTTCTTGGGAGGGGCTTAGGAAAGATACTTCAGATTTAAATTCACCGCGTGGCGATGGGAAGACACAGACCACTGAGAAATACAGGGAAATAAACGGAAGAAATGGATTTTAAAAAGAGCACAGGCTAAGGGAGAAAAATTAGGCCAAGTGCTTAACTCATTACCTGGCTTCTGGGGCCAACAACACAATCTCAGCTTAACACGAGCTCAGAGGGAGCCTGGGACAAGGTATCAGACTTGAAAGACCCACGTGCAAAGTGCCCTCACTGCATAAACAATAAACAGGACAGAACTACACTAACATTTCCTACCTTCATTCATTTTCACAAGAACCTAGAGCAATCGGCTTCACATTACCCACAAAATTACAAACACACACAGCATCAGAAAACACGTAACCCCTAAGGATGACAGAAGTATAACCAAGTTCTTGACCACATCAGACAATGCTGCGTGACTTATTATTGACAATAATTAAAAGGTTTAAATACCTATGTGAGCAGTAAGAAACCCATTCAACAATCTAATTCTAAAATGGTGCTTAAAATGTTTTTTTGATGTAGTCTGTTCATTCTGACTTATTTGGAACTTTTGTCTTCTTTGAAGGGAGGAACCAACTTAAACACATTTTTTCAGAACCAGGTACGTGAATAGCTGTGGCAGACTGATAAGTGATAAATGTCCCATTTCAAATCGTTTGTTGTGTGTTTCAGATACCTAAGAATTAAGAAGTGTCCATTTTAAGACAGAAAAGCATGTGTCATTAACATCTCAACTTTGAAAGAATCATTTCTTCTTTTAAAAACACTTTGGAAACAGTAGTGCATAATTTGATCCTGCTCCTCTTAATTTTTTAGCTTTCTCCTCAACCATCAGATCTTGAGAAGACATCACTGAGTTGATAAAATAATTGAATTTCTCTCCTCCCCAATATAAAGTGAACAAGGAGCTTGCCTAAAAACCATCCAATTAATTAGCATTATCTAAAAATTAGAGATCTCTCTGTATCTCTCTGTCTCTGTCTTTCTGTCTCTCTGTCTCTGTCTGTCTCCGTCTGTCTGTCAGTCTGTCTGTCTGTCTGTCTCTCTCTCTTCCACGTTTGGTCCATGCTTCCACTAGGGGGTGATCTTCACAACCTCAGATGTAAGTGATACCACTTCCCGCTCCCCTCCCCGCCTCCATACATGGGGCTTTGGTTCATTGATGTACTGATGTACTATTTCCCCACATAAGAAAAAGAATGGGAAAAAAAAAGAAAAAGAATAGATGGTAGTACTTGATCAGAGTAAAAAATTATAGCCAAGTGGATAACAAAACTGGATAACTCCAGGAAGAGGGAAAGTCTTTTCTAAAACCTATTTTAGCATTTGAAATCAAGAATAGGCCTTTCAGACATAACGTGGCCAAACAAATCTGTCTGTCTGTCCTTCAGTTCTGTGGGCTTCACTAAAGCAGGGCTGCAAAGGTACCATGAGGATGGGATCTCCTCTACCTTCATTAAGTTTTGTTTACTCACTTGTAAATTTCCTTGCAAACTTGTGAATCTGTGATCTGTGTGATTTCCCTAGATACACTAAAATTTCACATTCTCTCTTCATGTTCAAGAATCAGAGCCTCAAGATCTTGGTTCTAGCCAGGCGCTGGTAGTTGACACCTGTAATCCTAGCTACTCAGGAGGTTAAGATCTGATGATCATGGTTTGAGGCAAACCTGGGCAGGAAAGTCCCTGCGAGACTTCTGTGTCCAATCCAGAAGTGGCGCTGTGGCTTGAAGTGGTAGAATGCTAGCCTTAAGCACAAGAGCTCAGGGACAGCGCCCAGGCCCTGAGTTTGAGCCCTACCACCGACAAAAAAAAAGAAGATCTTGGCTCTATCAATAAATAGTTCTGTGTCCCTGAGTAAAACTTTTTATCATCCACAGCTCAGTTTCTCACAAAGTCACTCTTAAAATAACAGTGTCTGGAGACAAAATATGCAGAATATTATACAGCACTCATGTATGTTCTATGTGATGCTTCCCTCAATTCACCAGTTAGATTCTTCAACTACGAGGGGGGTGATTCTTGGCACATGTGTGTGATTTTGCTATTCGTTTTTTTCTCACAGTGATAATAGCCATTGTTTTTGGAGTGATGTTTGGTATCATTGGGACCATCCTTTTAATTTCTCTTTTAATCAAACGGCTGACAAAGGTGAGAATTCAGCTTGGGGGTTGTTTTGGATTTCATGTGTGTGTGTGTGTGTGTGTGTGTGTGTGTGTGTGTGTGCGTGCGCACACATGCGCATGCATGCATACTGGTCCTGAGGCTAGTCAAGGCTGTTTCTGAGCATGCTCAATCAAGGAGAGTGAGGCACACCAATGCTTCTGGCTTTTTGGTGGTTCATTGAAGAGTCTCAGGAACTTTCCTCCCTGGATTGGCTTTGAACCATGATCTTCAGATCTCAGCCTCCTGCGTAGCTAGGATTATAAACTTCAGCCACCAGCACCTAGCAAAAATTCAGATTTTAACCACGCTTTAAGTACCAGTATAAACAACAATTATATTCTTTAGAATATTCTTTAGAAAAATACTGCATGAAATTCTACTTTTTACAGATTATAATAATAGAGCCACTCTAACAGATTTCTTCATTTGCCCAATTGAAGATGATTTTCCCCAACATAAATCGATCCAAATAGATGATCTCCCAAATATTATTTTGTATACATTTATGGATAGAGATGAATTAATCAAATTTCTACTTTATTTAATTTTCAGACAAAATGTTTCAAATAATAGGACATACTTCGGTATGTTTAAAACTTTTGCTTTTTGTTTTTCCATTTTTCTCATTTCCTGAAACAAATTTTTCAGTCTACCCATGAGGTTTTAGCATGTAATTTTGTTTTCAGTCATTAGCCTAATTTTATAGCCACATGACAGAGCCTTGCAGATTATATGAGCTTCTGCCTAAGAAGTTTAAGACACCATATACAGCTAGACTTGGTGGTCACACCTCTAACTCTACCCTCTCTGAAGGCAGAGGTCAGAATGAAGTTGGAGACAGGCCCTGAATAAAACCATGAGGTCCTATTCAAAAAATAATCAAAATATAAAAAACTCTGGTCAATGTTCTAAAATTGGGGGAGGGAGTTAATGAAATAGTTCACAAAATTCAGCAAATTTTCTCTATAAATATCTATGCATGATGGATGGAGAAAGAGAGAGAGAAAAAAAATATGACCAGTCAACATGACTAAGAAATCATACCTCCTCTTTATTTTTATTTCTTTTTTTACTATTTATTTGCATATCAGGAAAACAAAAAAAGCAAGAATATAGGGTAATATTGTACCTACTAAACACCATATTTAAAATACAAATATAAATTTAAACCCTATTAAATTTAAATACAGAAATACAAATATATATTTAAAATACAAATACAAATATATATTTAAAATACAAATATAAATTTAAACCCTATTAAATTTAAATACAGAAATGTAAATCCCTATGAAATCAAGACTTAAAATAAACTCTACCATGTAAATTTCACTAAAACAAACTTCACCAGGCACTGATGGCTCATGCTTGTAATCCTAGCTACTCAGGAGGATGAAATCTGAGGCTCTCACTTCAAAGCCAGCTCAGCCAGGAAAATCAATGAGATTCTTATTTCTAATTAACTACCAAAAAGTTGGAAATGGAGCTGTGGCTCAAGTGGTACAAGTGCTAGCCTTGAGCAAAAAAGCTCAGGGATAGTACCTAGGCCCTGAGTTGAAGTCCCAGGACTAGGACAAAAGAAGAAAGAAGGAAGGAAGAAAGGAAAGAAGGAAGGAAGGAAAGAGGGAGGGAGGGAGAGAGGGAGGGGAGAGAAAGAAAAGAAAGAAAAGACACTTTGGAAAAATGTTTTAGTCTAAAGACACATTTGAATTTTTGGTGTCTTTGCTTTAGAAAATTGTGGCGCTGGTAATGTTCTGGGTTTTATTCACAGAAAAACTCAGTGGACATGCAACCTACCTTCCTGCCCAACACAGACGTACCCTTGAGTTCAGTTACAACAGTTCTGCAAGGTGGGTGTGAATACTTGTCTGGCTTTCTGCCTTTGGGGATGGGAAATAGCCTGAGTTAAGACAAGAAATAACGGATCAGGATTTATTCAGTATTTATCTTTTCTGAGTCTGGCTTACTACACTTAACATGATGACCTTCAGTTCCATCCATCTTCCTACAAATGACATTATTTCCTTCTTCTTTATGGCTGAATAATATTCTACATTGTACTTCTCTGTATGGGTGCTAGAGTGGGTATGGTACAATAATTCCAGATGTAGAGTCAGGATGGATTCAGATCCATGACAGAACCTTGGCTAGCTGTGTAATCTTGAGCAAGGCACCACACCTCTTTTGATATGATACTACTTCACAGAGTTTAATGTGAATTATGTATGCAATAATTTATTGTTGGAATTGAGTGTAACTGTGTCTTCTTCTACTGTTTTGTGTTTCCTCTTATAATTCTCACAGAAGAGTAGTCGAAGAAAATGTGTTCACCATGAGCGACTATGAAGGAACAAAACTCAAAGAAGATACAAAATTAAGTAAACTAGAAATAAACGTGTAAATTGGGGTCTTCGATAAATTATGCCGCATCATTCCAGGAAGGAAATCTCATCATAAAAAGCTCCAGTGAATAAATCGTCAAAAACAAATCTCTGCTCATGAATATGTCAATACTTGCATGCTTGTTTTTTGCATAAGCATAATTTTAATCAATTGGAATTCAGACCCAAATTTTCAGTTGAACTCATCTGTTTGTAACATTTTCTCTATGCTATTGTATTTTATGTTTTTTTAATTATGTTTAGAGAGTAGTACAAAGGGTGTTGAATTCAATGTCAGTTTATAAATACAATGAGTCTTGGTTGGTGGCTCCCTTCCATTGTTCTCCCTCTTTTCTCTCAACCTATGCTATTGCATTTTAATTATAGTATTATCAAATGAAAGGCCTGTAATATCTCATGAAATCTAAGTTCTCTTTTTCTAAATTTTGTTTCAAATAAAGGAATAATGACATTGTCTCTTTAATTTCCTTCATTGAGCAGGCATATTAATATCACTATTAATGATAGTGATATTTTGTTCCCACTAATGAAATGTGCTTAAAAGCCACCCCAGGCTGGCTTTGAACCATGATCCTCAGACCTCAGCCTCCTGAATAGCTAAGGTGATAGCTATGAGCTACCTTTATCCGGGGATAGATCAATTTCTGTGAGAAATTGGTAAGGAACTTGGAATGTGATAAGGAATGGAATATGAAATAATTTGCCTGATCACCTGATCAGGATTATATATGACTTGTTACAGGCAACAGAATCCTATCTCCAGGAAATTCTGAGAATACATCTTTTGGAAACAAATTAGCAAATCTACTCTTGTGCCTGTAATCCTAGCTACTCAGGAAGCTGGGATCTGAGGATGGTGGTTGGAAGCTACTGGGGTTGGAAAGTCCAGGAAACTCTTATCTCCAGTTAACCACCAGAAAGCCAGAAGTAGAGGTGTGGCTCAAAGTGGTAGAAGAAAAAAGCTCAGGGATAGCACCCAGGCCCTGAGGTCAAGATCATGACTGACAGAAAAAGAAAGAAAGAGAGAAGAAGATGGAGAGGGAGAGGGAGGGGGGTGAGGGAGGAAGGAAGGAAGGAAGGAAGGGAAAGAAAAGGAAGGAGGGAGTTAGCCACTACACCGTCACAAGAATGAAGGAAGTGAGGGGAAGCCGAAAGCTTGGGTTCCTCTATTGTGTAATTTTTCAGTCACATTTCCTTCTACTGTAGAGTGTTCCTGATTACATATTGCATATTTTGATTGCATATTTTCTAGCTCAAATAATGCAGCATCATGACTCATAAAATAATACAAGTGATTTAAAGTCATCCAACACACTCCTTATTTCAGCAAAATGCATTGTAAGTGGTTTTTTAAGATGAATTCTGTTTACAATGGCTGCGGGTCACATGCAGGTTGGAGCCTTCAGTGAACACATTGGAGTTGTGACAGAGTCGCCATTTTTGTTGTTGACACAGCATAGTTTAGTGAGATGTCTGATAGACCCACTTCTATCCTCCTTCCGGCTCTGTACCATGCATGAACTTCACAGCAGATTGCTCGACTGGACCCCACTGGGACCATTTAGAGCTTGTACTTTAAGATTAGCATTTTCATTTCTAAAAAAAAAAATATTCAAGAGTTTTTAAGTTGAATGAAAGCTTTTCATTTATCTTAGCAATTGCAGGCTTGTGGTTCTGGCAGGAAGAAATTGCTGGCAAGTGGAATGCTTAGCCCTGGAAAGAAGGGATGAGATTATGTTCTTCCCCTGATAAACACTTTGGCAAGAATGAGCCCAGTGATGAAATCTGAGGATCACGGTTCAAAGCCAGCCCAGGGAAGGAAAATCCGTGAGACTCTTATCTCCAATAAACCACCAGAAAACCAGAAGTGGTGCTGTGGCTCAAGTGGTAGAGCACTCACCTTGAGCTGAAGAGCACAGCTGAAGTGCCCAGGCCCAGAGTTCAAGCCCCATGACCAACAACAAAAAAAAAAAGAATGAGCCCATTGACATCTGTGGATTCCCTGACCATTTTCTTTGATGCGTGGGTCTAACAGTGGAGAGCTATGCTATGGTTTCTTTTAGTTCCAAACCTTTCTTTCCTAATTATGATTTCATCAAACCTCGGCAACAGCTCTAAGCCAGAGATCATCCTCTCATTGAAAGCTGGCCAGATGGGTCTCAAGTCTGGCCAAACCCACTGACAACGGCCAGTGAACCACTGTCTGTGATGGGTAGAATTGTATTTGGTGCATTCACAGGCTTCCTTCTTCTTCCCTTTTATGTATATGGATGTTAATGCGCCTTGCCCTTTCCTAACCTTGATAAAGCAAATTACTCTTAGAATTCATCTTTCTTTGTCCTGCATTGTATATAAGCAAGGATAAGAATGTGGCCTTCTTGCTTCATTCTTAAGAGAATAAATGATTTGGATTTTTATCCTCCAGTATTTCAGAGCTACTAGTCACTGACATCAACACAGACCAGTGGGCACCATCTTCTGGGCTGGAGGCCCATTAGGAAGCAGAGGCTTTGGTGAATTTTCAGAAAATACTGATCTATCACATAGACTAACTTTTTCCTAGCATCATCTATATGACCAGGATGACATGATCAAATTGTACACAGGTGAAAACAGAGTGTGAAAAAGTAGTCAAAACATTCTGTAGAAACCAAAGGCCTTGTTTTTATTATTCTTTAAGAGATTTCTGTAAGCCAGTCACCAGGAGGCTGAGATCTAAAGACTATGGTTTGAAGCCAGCTCAGGCAGGAAAGGCTTATTTCCAATTAACCAGCAAAAAGCCAGAAGTAGACCTGTAGTTCAAGAGGTAGAATGCTCACCTGGAGCAAAAAAGCTAAAAGACAGCACCAGTCTCTGAGTTCAATCCCCAGTACCAGCACACACACACACACACACACACACACACAAGGATTTCTCTAGAATAAGACCTTCAACCTTAAATACTAGTTTACAGACTGGCCATCTACCTAATATTTTGAAGAAGAAGCTGCTATAAAAGAAGACTCTAAAGCATGGCTAAAGGTATCAACTTGATTGCTGACTAAACTAAAACTTGGCTTTGGACTATGATATTGCTAGACATTTGGGTGGCTAGCTACCCCAGGCCCATGTGCCAGATCTGGAGGGAGGGAAGAAGAAGAAAAAGAAGATGAAAAGGAGGAGGAAAGAGAAAGAAAGAGGAAAGAAAAAAAGAACCTTCAGCTGAAATGTATTTCCTTTCTCTCCTTCTGTACTTCCTTATCTCAAAGCCCATATAACGCTGCCTGAAACCACATCCACCTTCCGGGAAGGGCCCCCAAGGGGCCTGATTGGCTGTTCCAGCAAGTGCTCCTAAGGTCCCATTCCCCTCTGGAGCGGGTGAGTAGCAAAGCACAGAGTCAAGAAGAAAGAAAGAAAATATGGAGTCTCCTTCCTATTTCTATTTATTTATTATTTATTGAGACATTGCTCAGGCTGGCCTCAAACTCACAATCTTCCTCCCATCATTTCTTGAACATCTGGAATTAGGCGCAGGTACCACCAGGCACCACCAGGCCTGGCTCACACTTACTCATTTTGCAATGTTCCTTAGCAACTTCATTCCCCTCAGGTGTCATCCACCTCAAGCTGTGCTAGAGTTGTCTTCCCCTAATGCTCCGGGGTGCCCACTCAACCAACAGGGCCTGCACATGCCATCATGGGATCAGGTGCATGCCAGGGAAGGAGATGAGGGGGAGCGCCTATGACTAAATTAAAACCCACCCTCCAAAAGGAGGAGTCTAGGCCTGGGCCACAGCACCTGGCTGGATAAATACTTATGAGAGAATATTTTATAACATGTAAGTCTATCCTCTACAATCTCTGAGGGATGGAATGAATAGGCAGTTTCCTCCTGGACATGTTACTCTTGGCTTCCTTAAGTGTTTGATGATATTATTATTGTTATTATTATCATCATCATCATTATTAATTCTTAGTGTTTTCAAACCATCAGTGTTGGGGGAACTGGAGCTGTGTTAGGAAACAGGAATTGGTGACCTCCTCAGAAGAAAAAAATAACAATAAAACCATCACAATAGAGTTTAAAATATCCAATATGAGATACAATAGTGAAAGACTTATCAAGACCAAATTTTCCCTTCTCTACAAAATGTTCAAGAAAAAAAAAATTCTATTATTATTTGGTTTTTGTGTTTATTTTTCACAGCATCCGGGTTTGAACTCAGTGCCTTGGGCTCCTTAGGCTGGTGCTCTGCCACCTGAGCCATGCCTCCAGCCTTGCTTTTTGCCTTTTTTGTCAGTTGTGGAGCTTGAACTCTGAAGAGCTGTCCCTCAGCTCAAGGCTAGCACTCTACCACTTGAGCCACAGTGCCACTTCCAGTTTTCTGGTGGTTTATTGGAGATAAGAGTTTCACGGACTTCGCTGCCCAGGCTGGCTTTGAACCATGATCCTCAGATCTCAGCCTCTTGAGTTGCTAGGGTGACAGGTGTGAGCCACCAGTGCCTGGCTCTTGCTGGTTATTTTGGAGATGGAGTCTAGTGAGCTTCTCTGACTGACTTGCCTTCTATCATCCAGCTGTCGACCTCCAGAATAGCTAGGATTACAGGCATGAGCTGCTGTTGCCTGGCTAGTGTTTTAATCAGCTGCTCTACCATTAAGCCATACCCTAGACTCAATGGCTAGTATTGTGTGTTGTGATGTTAACACTCACGATGGCCTACTGAAGCAAGAATACCCAAACTGCATCACCTCAGGTCTCGTGATAAAGCTTGGATTCTGCAGTTGTTTCCGTGTGTGCATTCATCTCTGAGCTGACACTAGCTGTGGTGGAAAATAACATTTACAGTGATTCGTAACCCCTGCAACAATTCCTCTGGCCTCCTCACTCATCTCCCAGATCCCCACCATTGTAAAGCATGAAAAGCATTTCCAATGTAGCATGAGCAGTGTTGTATTTTGCAAACCTGCTAAGGACAGCCCACGTTCATATAGGGTGGGTCACTGAGAGACAACCTGCAGTAACTGGGAATTGCTCCTTTGGCCTCCTGAGGGAGGGGAGGACAAGCAGGGGGGAGGAGGGGCCTCCTCTGCAGCTCAGCAGGGCAGACAGGCTGCGGCAGGCCCTTGGCTGTCCTTTGTTCCCCCGCCCAGGTATGAAGCTGGGGGGAGGGGGGAGGAGGGAGGTGTCTTGGCTCTGTGATGCGGTGACTGGCATGGGACTGGTGCTGGATGGGGCAGTGGTGGGAAGGAGAGGGCTGCGCTGGGCACCTGGGTCCGCCCTGTGCTGGTCTCCCTCCCAGCTCCCCACCGTTCTCCTCAACCACCTGGAGGAATTGAACAAAAGCATCTGTTGGAGCTGCACAGGTCTGTGGGTGAGAGCAGACGTGTGCACACCATTTAGAAGAGGTCGTGGAGAGTGTGAACAGGGCGCTGTCCCTTCTGGGCAGCCCTGGGGAAGCCTGTGTGCCGCCAGCCTCT